CTGTTACTGCTCAAGCTCAGGCTCAGGCTGAGATTGCAGAGGTAATGGCCGCCGCTAAAGCCAAGGCACGTTTATACTTATTTTGTTCATCTTTTCTCATTTTATTAACGCAGCGCGGATACATTTTGAAACAGCATCCCCGCAAGCTTGTCAAGTCCAAGGCTGTTGTTGAGGACAAGGATGACGAGGTCGAGATTGTCCCCAGCCCCTCGGATACCGACGTTATGATGGGTGGGTGTGATGGCCCCAACGCTATCACTGCAGCTGACACCGTGCGTTTTTTTTTTTTTTTTTTTTTTTCTTTTGAGCAGAACACAATTTTAATATTGCGTACCGCTTTGCTCAGATGGCAGTGGACAACCTCTTCGGTGACGAAGAAGTCAAGGACGCTGCTTCCTCTCCCAAAGAGAAAGGCAAGAAGCGCGCTGCCTCTGGTCCCAAGGTAAGCTGCTATTATTGCGTGAGTCCACTGCCACGTTGTTAACTTCATATTTTATTCGGACATAACAGACCCCAGCCAAATCCAAGCATGCCGAAACGGTCAGCATTCCCTACGACGCTGTTCCAGGCATGGACACTAACAGTCGCGAATTTCACAAGGCCCTCGTCGTCGAGCATGCCAAAGGCAGTTGCGCTGGCAACAAACGCCCTCGTACTGAACCGCCCTTTATTAGTGGTTTAGCAGATCTTCAGTCTCGTCAAAGTTCGTATTTATCTTTTATCTTCATAAATCGTAAACTAACGCGCTCGTCCTTTGTTATAGACGAGTCTGCCAACTCCTTGCTCATCGACAACCCTCTGTACAGGGAGATCTTAGCGCGCGCACATGCTGCTGTTACCAACCGCATGCCGGCTTATCCCACCCTTGCTTATTTCAAGCAGCAAGAGGTCGATCTTCGTGAACGCGTTCTTCTTAGCATGCAGTGCCTCGACTTGGAGCTTCGTCTTCGCGATGTACTTGTCGCTGATTACGAAATTGCCCTTGCCCAGATTGCTGAGCGTGAAGTAACTAAGGAGTAGTAGAACTATCCGAACTTTTTTGTAGACGGACACCTAGAGCCCGCATGTATAGTTGACTACGCATGGAAAATCTAGAAGGCGCTTGCGCATTATGTTTATAAACTGCTGGAGGTTTTTATTAAACTTTAGCCAATTTTAAAGCATAAGTCTACTAAGCCTCTTCTTCACTTAAATCTTCGATTTCTTCTAAGTCCCCGGATTCATCTGCGGAAGACCCATCAAGATTAAGTCCTTCAAAGTAGTAATCTCTTGCGTTAGGTCTTTCTTCAACGCCTGTGTTTTCGATTTCATCCAGTTCCTCATTGCTTGCATCAATAAGTGTACTGAAGTGCTCAGGTAAGTCGATCCTTTCTCTTGCGAAATACGGAATGACTCTGAACGCTCCAATTTTATTGTGATTGACTGATCCGTCCAGTTCACAAACTATATATGAACCTCCCTTTGTTCGACGTACCACAATCATAGGTCCCAGGTATCTTGGTTGCATTTTACTATTTAATGACGAGGATACTTGTGAATTTCTGATAAGCACCAGGTCTCCGGGTTTATACATTTGACCACTGATTTTATGGCGGTGGCTTAGTTCATATTTTGCCACTCTTTTCATTTTTTCTAAGGTGACCCTCTCGCGCATTTCCGCCACATGCTGCCTGTGTTTTGCTAATGCTTTGGCTCTATAGCCAATCAATTCTGCAGTGGACAACATACGATCTGGTAATTTTACTAACCAGGTAGCCTCCTGTACGTCGAGAGGTAATATTGGATGTGTGCCTGTTACCATAAAGAACGGCGAACAACCAAATCTTTTTCTAATCGTGATCCTGTCAGCCCAAAGTACTTGCCAAAAGAACCAATACCACTTGGCAAGGTTCTTGGGTCCACAGCACTTTGTGAGCATTTGTATAATATCCCAGTGGGGCCTTTCGATTCTGCCATTTGCCTTAGAATTATACGGAGATATCCTAATACCCTTTATCCCGTATTTTTCTTCAAGCCATTTTACAGCAGCAAGGAAAGCCGAACCATTGTCAGTTATTATTACTTCTAGACAACCCCATCTGCAGATGACTTCTTCAAAAAGCCATAAGCCGACAGTTCTTGCAGTTTCACTTTTTAGGGGTTTTCCTTCAACCCAGCTTGACAGTGCACACCTCCCATGGACGATGTACTTACATCCATTTGATTTCGGAGTCATGTGTACGGTATCAGCGTGTAGTCGTTGGAAAATAGATGGTGTATGTGTCACGGTGGGTGGGATTTCCACCACACGTTTGGTTCGTTCCTGACAACGCTGGCATGTTTTCACATACCAATGTACGTCTCTTTCGATTTCAGGCCACCAAAAACGCTCCGTTAACATATTCTGCGTTGCATATGCTCCCCTATGTCCCATAGCATCGTGTGCAGATCTCATCATGTACATTCGGTGAGACTCGTCGACCACTAGCTTGTGACGTGATTCAATGCTTCGACGATATAATCTATCCTCTTTGTCTAGGAAGAAACTTTTTGCAAATCTTACGAAAGCGCCATACTTTTTATCAGAATATCCTTCGATCTTTTTAGGATTTTTCAGCCATTCTCTTAGTATAAGAAGGAATTCATCCTGTGACTGTCCAATGAATGACCTATGAGTTTCCGGGTAAGGTTGCTCTGTTTCTAGTTCATCAAACCTGGCCTCCAGGCCTGGTGAAGTTAAAGTCGAAATCATGTAAGTTCGAAGAAATTCCTTCTGTTCTGGGCTGCTTTTTGTATGATCTGGATCATTGTC